GTTTTGTACCATACATTTGATGCTGGAGGGGGGCTGCTCATCTTCTAATGAACCCCCGACGGACGTGCACGGACAGATCGGACTGGCGGGTTGCCTGCTGGAGATAAATGTCTAGGGCGGACTTGTATTTCGTAAGGAAGCAAAAACGCTTCCTTACAAGATATAGGTTAAAACATTCTGTTTTGTTCGTCTTATGATAAAGAAGCATAAAACCAGTTTACGCAGTTTACGCTCCACTGCGACTTTCCGCTCCGACCAATTTGGCCCATTTTCAAATCTAACCTGGTTGCGAAAACTTCCAAAGCTCCTACCAAATTTGAAGTCACTATTTTCATTTTTGCGACCTACAAACACCACACAGACACACAGATGAAAAGACATGGTTTAAGCAATTTAAAATTTCACGCTGATTAACCATACATATACTTTCTAGGGTTTCTAAAGCTGAAATACGCCCCCATCCTTCGGTGGTGAGTGTAAAAAGGAAACAAAAATTGCAAAATGTTTTTAACTACACGCGCATATTTTCAGGAAAACCCGCCAAATGACACATAATTTTTGTGAGAAATTATTGTCGCACAAATGCAAACAGGAAGCCGAAATTGGCATTAGACATTGACGGGTTCTGTAAATTTAGAGTTAACTTCACGAACATAGTTATCGATTTAATTAGACCAAATGATTCTCTGTATCTATGTGTGTCCAAGAGACACCAAGAGAAATAAACGTGCATGGTAAATTAATGAATAAACAGCAAGCCAAGCAAACACGTAACGTGATACACTGGGACCACGAGGCTTACGGACTCGATGATCGAGGATTTGACGCTAATGTTAAAGAATGCTTGGAGGCTTTACCACAACATTCATTGGAACATAAGCATGGTTGGCTGTTAGTTCTTAGCCATGCCTTGAGTAAAAAAATTGGACATCTCATCATACAACGTTAAACAAAGAATTTCGCTGAATGGCAAAATTTTGTAGACGCTGTGAAAGTTATGGGTAAATTTCTGAATACAGTAATTTTTTATGAAACTCATTATTAGAAAGTATTGTTTCCATTCCAGAATCAGTGGCTTTTAGTCTGACACCAGATCAGATCAAAAAGTGGAGCTATTTGGAATTTTCCGGTGAATTAAAAAGTTCAAGTTATGCGATATGATTTTTCAAGGATAATTTTTTTTTAATAACGTCAGCCATGCATGTCTCTGAATTGAGAAATTTATGTGACTTTTAAAGTTCACCGCAAAGGTACAGAATTATTTGGTGACGGTTTTGCCATATGGTACGCCAAGGAACATATGCAACCAGGGTCAGTTTTCGGTAGTAAGGATAATTTTTCTGTTCTAGTAGTTATATTAGACACTTATATATATACATTATCACACAGGCGACTTTCCTTATGTCTGCGATTTATGTGGGCGAAAATATGCTCAAATGTGCCTTTTGAATACGCACAAAAAAATTAAACATGATAGCGTGGGATTTAGCTGCGACTACCCTGATTGTGGAAAATATTTCACGTCGTCTAACTCTTTACGAAATCATGAGTACACGCATCACAATATGATGCCCTTTGAATGTGAATTTTGTCAGCAAGCATAACCGGCTAAAGCAAAGTTAGTAATTTCTTAGTCAAATTAAAAAAATAAACGTACTTCATATATAATATTCTTTTTTACAGACTAAAGGTGCATATTAAGCGAAAACATGGTCAGGATATGAGCAAAGAGCAATTAGAAAATATGCGTAAATTTCATGTTATGCGCTCCAAAGTTAATTTTATAAAGGTGATTCTTGTCACCGATATTTAATATTAACGAAATTATAAATAAAATAGATGTCGGTGTATTGGTTTTAATTAATTTCACGAACGATTATCTCGATGAATTATGGGTACAAATTAGAAAAAAAAACTACAAAGCAATCTAGCTAGGAACTAAGACTCCGTACAAGAATTTTTTCAAACGTTTTATTTCCATGCTTTACTCAAGCATAAGTTTTTATGCTCGGACACGAAAGGGGACTTTTCTGATGCCAATTCAAATATCAACCAATGACTTCGCATAGAAAACATTTTTTTTATAATAAAAACTCGGTTTCGATCCAACATTTAATTAATTTTTATACATGTGCGTAAAATCTTTACTTTTTATTGTTTTTAAAGGTTACATTCTCTTAAAATATTGAAAAAAAATTAGCGTTAATTTACAATTTAAGTCAATAAAACGTTTCCTCTAAAAACGAAAAAAAATTGGCACTTTAATAACATTTTTAAGAATTAAAAAAAAACGGAATGCTCGAGAATTAATCTTTTAAATGTGTAGAATGTGTCTTATAATACATTGTAGATTGTTGTTGTTTAAGAAGAGTAAATATGTCTTTATTAATATTGCCTCTTTAATAACATTCACTTGATTACTAAAATTTTTTTATTATTATCAGCGATATATGTGTGTAAGTTAATTTCATAACTGCTTCTATATTTTTTTTTTTTTCATTGCTTGTTCCCATTGTTCGTTCGAGGTTCAAAAGTATTCAATCACGTATACTATATCATTTTGTATGAAAGAGTATCAATGTACTTAAATGTAAATTATACCCACACATCGTGAGGATTTTTGCTGGTTGGTACTGCATTTTCCAACTGTCGCGGCGAACCAATAATTCGACGGCTGCTGCCCGGTTTATTAGAGCCTGAACTTAAACGAAATTCTAGTAAAATTCCATTTTATTCCATTTACGTAATATTTTAACTTCCAAGAAATGTTTGATTTCCTCCGAAGGAGTGATAGTTAAACTTTGCAAATTTACCTCCTTCATTTCGTTAACCTGTTGTTCCACCTAAAAGGTATCATACAATTTTACTTATAATAACTATTAGTGATGATTAATACAATTATACAAGAAATAATAATACAATTATAAAATAAAATAATCCTTATTAAGAATTGAAATAAAACTTTTCTTTACTATGGGAAAAAATATTAAAGAATTTTAAAAAATATGCAGAATGGTTATATAATTAATAAATAAATTTTTTTTTAAGATTTGCTTGCAACGTAGAAGTTTACTAACAAATAAACTGATTACTAATTATTAAATTATTAGCATTATATTGAAAATTTCGTTTTAATATGCAGAAGTTTTAATATGTGAAATCCAAAACAATCAAAAGTACTTGATTGTTGCTACATTTCACTATTATTGAAAGAAGTAAGAAAACTATATTCGGCCGTATCCGTATCCTTTATAACCGTCGCCGTTACCCATCGTATACCGTCGCAGCATCCGCGATATTTAATTTAGAGTTAACACATTCCGTTTGTCGTATTCTACCCTCCAAGTCTGTTTATTTGATACTCAGTCGATTATATACCCAAGAAGAAACGAAATCTTCAGTTTGGTGGGTTCACAATATTTAATTTAGAACAGGCACATTTTTAGACAGAGAGAGATAATGTAATTTCACGTAAATAATGTACATAATCATTTTGCTTTGTTTATCTTACGAGCAATAAGCAGAAATCCTTAAAAAAGTGAAAAAAATCACTTATAATTTTGTACAGGTGTTGTAGGAGCAACCCATAGAATATAAGGGCAAATTTGTATCGTTGCATCTCTTACAGTTGATAAATAACGAACAGAAAACAAAGGTAGTAGTTAAGTTTCACTGTGGTCGTGGCCTTTGGCCGATTCACCCCATCTTCAATGTCACCCTCCTATTTAAGAATTGCCAATGTTTCTGTCGAATTTGAAGCCGATAGCATCGTTTCTGCCACCTGGGGGACTGTTTACCACAGGACATTACATAGACAGACGGACGAATATTCTTAAATCGGTTTAGAATGTGCTGCTGATCGAGAATATATTTACTTTAGGGGTTCCTGAGCTTTCCTTCTGTGTGTCACAAACGTATCGATGAAATGAGTATATCTCATATCCTTCAGCTATGGATACGATAACGAAACAACATTAAATTTTATTTGTATGTTTAATAACAAATTGCTCAGGAAGTGAACAATTAATCCAGTATGGTGTGTATGCAGTTTAAGAGAACTTTTTTAACGTAGTCCTTACTTGTCTCTTTTTTTCGGCTATAGCGTTTTCAATTAGTGCAATTTCCTTTTCAAATTTTCAGCGGTATTATTCGATGTATCGGTATTATGAATG